AACACTGATGAATAAATGTGGATAGGAAGCCCTTAAACACACTTTGGTATTTGGATCACCTCTCTGCAAGCCCTCCGCTCGAAGCCCAATCTGGTCTGCCTCTTAGTGCTTTCCCCTTTGTGTCTTTACAGGCTGTGATTCCAATTTTAAACTGGTCACTACAGGAGGTGGCCTTTTGATTCTTAGAGAGCCCAATGCTGTAGATTCGTCACAGTGGTTCTCCGCAGCAGAATAGCATTCCACCAGTTAACTAGTTGATCAGCCGAGAAAAACACTCTGGAAAGGCCTCCCAAACATTTATTACCTCCCCAGCCACCTTCTGGATGCCTCCTTCCAGGGATTTGCTGGGGCATGATAAATGTTAATGCTGGTCATTTGACTCTCCTTGCCCTATATCCTGGAAGCAGTCATAGCCCCCCTCTCCTTTACATCACAGCCCCCCTTCCATTTGCAGCATCCCTGTATGGTCCTACCAGGGCAGAGGCACATTGCAGCTGGTTATTCTCTTCGGGTCTCCCACTCGGCTGCTGCTATCATCCTCACAGTGGGCGGGGGCAGGAGGCCTCAGGATGGTGCATCTCAGGACAGAGGGCAGGAGCTGCCCAACTTATTAAGGTGACAAGCGGGTGTTATTATGAATAGACCTCCGCCCTCTGTCATCTCTCACCACCCACCTCTTTCAGGATGATGGCAGCAGCCAGGCGTGAGACCTGAGAGAAAACAAACAGGCTGATAAGTGGCACGGCCATGGGGGCCGGACATGACTGTTACTCGGTCCGGATCCAAACCGTGGTCCGCCATTTAGTGAACCCTGCATTAGGGGGTCACCTGGTATATGAATGTATTTTTTTTCTTTCCTTGGATACTTGCAGATTTGAAAAATTACTGTGAGTCTTGTCTAGAGTGTAAAAAGTGGGCTTCTATGCCTCATTACTATTGCCCGCTGGTCCAGTTATATGCGACTGAGGTCCCTTTTAACCGAATTGCAATGGATCTAATAAGGCCAATAGTTGCGTCTCTTTTTTTTTATTATTATTATTATTATTATTATACAGGATTTATATGGCGCCAACAGTTTGCTCAGCGTTTTACAATACGAGAGACAATACAGCAACAATACAGTTCAATACAAGAGGGTTAGGAGGGCCCTGCTCCTTGGAGCTTACAATCTAAGAGGGAGGGGCTAGTGGTACAAAAGGTAGTAACTGTGGGGGATGGACTGGTAGGAGGAATAGAAGATTCCATTATTAGCTGAGGGCAGGATAGGCTTCCCTGAAGAGATAGGCTTTCAGAGATTGCCTATAAGTGAGCAGAGTAAGTGATAGTCTGATAAATTGGGGTAGAGAGTTCCAGAGGATGGGGAAGCTCTGGAGAAGTCCTGGAGACGAGCATGGGAGGAGGAGACGAGGGAGCTAGAGAGCAGGAGGTCGTGCGAGGAGCGGAGAGGATGATTTGGGTGATATTTGGAGACAAGATTGGAGATGTAATTTGAGTCAGAGTTATACATGGCTTTATACGTTATTGTTAATGTTTTGAATTTTATCAGTTGGGCAATGGGAAGCCAGTGGAGGGATTGGCAGAGAGGGGTGGAGGACACTGAGTGGAGGCCAGAGGAGGGATTGGCAGAGAGGGGTGGAGGATACTGAATGGAGGCCAGTGGAGGGATTGGCAGAGAGGGTGGAGGATACTGAATGGAGGCCAGTGGAGGGATTGGCAGAGAGGGGTGGAGGATACTGAGTGGAGGCCAGTGGAGGGATTGGCAGAGAGGGGTGGAGGATACTGAGTGGAGGCCAGTGGAGGGATAGGCAGAGAGGGGTGGAGGATACTAAGTGGAGGCCACTGGAGGGATTGGCAGAGAGGGATGGAGGATACTGAGAGGAGGCCACTGGAGGGATTGGCAGAGATGGCCATCCCTACATCCTAAGGGTTATGGACTATGCTACCCGGTATCCTGAAGCTGTTCCTAGAAGAAACACTTCCTCCAGGACCATTGGCAGAGAGTTGTTCCACATTAGTGTTTTTGGAAAAGGACGCATGCGGGCTGTGATGGAACATGTCTGCAGGTCTGAGCACACCCAGTGTGGCCTCATTACTAGCTAGGAGGCTAAATAACTTTTGAGTTTTGGACTGTGATTATTATTATTACTGCGAGAGAACCTCTTCTTTTGGTCGTGTTTGCTGCTTGCCTGCACTTAGCCTCACAATTGGTGGAGGATGCGGGCAATCACTTGCATGATGTACATTGTATCATTATATCAATACCTGAGTATCTTTCTATGACATTTGTTGTGAATACCTTCTGTAACCATTTGGCTATAACAAGTTTGCTTGAATTCCATTTTTTTTTTTTCGTTTGGGTGCTCAGATTATTATTATTACAATTATTCAAAATATGTTTTATTTTACAAACATGGCATTGCCCCTCTCTAACGGCTTTACCACCTTGCTCCACAACCTGGGTCCCTTCATCACTTTTTGTGTTGTCCTCTGGGCCCTCGTAGACAATAGATTGTTTTCCTCACCTAGGTGTCAATTACTAATATTCTTTATAGCGCCTTCTATTAGTTATGTGATTTCGTTTATTTCTTTTGCGCCATTGTACTTTCTTCTAGCTGTCCGTCCCTTTTCTCTTTGTTTTTTTATTCCTCTGATTTTTTTTATAATAAATCTTGATAAGAGAAATATCCCATAGGGCACAAGTCATGGCTAAGGGGGCTATAGGGAGCACAAATGTGGAGGCATTGATTTGTAAAGGGGCTGTAGTAGCAATGATCTCTAGCAGTCTCATGTAATGTGTCCCCAGCCTATGATTGTCTCCTAAAGGACATAAAGCACACCCCCTGTCTCTACCAACTCCTATAGTGTGTTCACAATTTCTGACCAATTATTTACAGTATGTCTGCAGTCTCTGATCATCTTTTATAGTATGTCTGAAGTCTCTGACCATCTCCCCTACTATATATGCAGTCTCTGATAATTTTTTATCTTATGTCTGAAGTCAATGATCATGTATGTAGTACGTCTGCAGTTTCTGGCCATCTTTTGCAGTATGTCTGCAGTCTCTAACCATCTTCTGTAAGGTGTCTGCAGTATCCATTTCTATCTTGTTTTATGTATGCAGTCTCTGACCATCTCATGAAGCATGCCCATAGCCTCTGACCATCTCCTGTAGTATGTCTGAAGTCTCTGAATATTTCCCATAGTATATCTGCAGTCTCTGACTATCTCCCATAGTATGTCTACAGTCTATGACCATCTCCTGTAGTACATCTGAAGTCTCTGACCATCTCCTGTAGTACATCTGAAGTCCCTGACCATCTCCCATAGTATGTCTGAAGTCTCTGATCATCTTTTGCAGTATGTCTGCAGTCTCCAATCCTCATCTATAATATGTCAGCAGCAGGGGCGGACTGACAACTCATGGGGCCCCCGGGCAATAGGGGATCATGGGGCCCCTGTGTCCTTGCCCACACTCAAAGCACACCCAAAAAAGCCTATAAAAAGGTACCATGGGCATTTCATGGGGCCCCCTACTGACCCTGGGCCCTCGGGCAGTGCCCAAGTGCTCGAATGGTCAGTCCACCCCTGGTCAGCAGTATCCTCTCCTGTTTCATGTATGCAGTCTCTGACCATCTCATGAAGCACGTCCATAGTCTCTGACAAGCTCCTGTAGCAAGCCTTCAGTCTCTGACCATCTCGTGTAGTAGGTCTGCAGTCTCTGATCATCTCCTGTAGTATGTCTGCAGTCTCTGACCATCTCCTGTAGTAGGTCTGCAGTCTCTTACAATCTCCTGTACTGTGTCTGCAGTCTCTGACCATCTCCTGTAGTATGTCTGCAGTCTCTGACCATCTCCTGTAGTATGTCTGCAGTATCTTACAATCTCCTGTAGTATGTCTGCAGTCTCTGACCATCTCCTGTAGTATGTCTGCAGTATCTTACAATCTCCTGTAGTATGTCTGCAGTCTCTGACCATCTCCTGCAGTAGGTCTGCAGTCTCTGACCATCTCCTGTACTGTGTCTGCAGTCTCTGACCATCTCCTGCAGTAGGTCTGCAGTCTCTGACCATCTCCTGTAGTAGGTCTGCAGTCTCTTACAATCTCCTGTAGTATGTCTGCAGTCTCTGACCGTCTCCTGTAGTATGTCTGCAGTCTCTGACCATCTCCTGTAGTATGTCTGCAGTATCTTACAATCTCCTGTAGTATGTCTGCAGTCTCTGACCATCTCCTGTAGTATGTCTGCAGTCTCTGACCATCTCCTGTAGTATGTCTGCAGTATCTTACAATCTCCTGTAGTATGTCTGCAGTCTCTGACCATCTCCTGTAGTATGTCTGCAGTATCTTACAATCTCCTGTACTGTGTCTGCAGTCTCTGACCATCTCCTGTAGTATGTCTGCAGTATCTTACAATCTCCTGTAGTATGTCTGCAGTCTCTGACCATCTCCTGCAGTAGGTCTGCAGTCTCTGACCATCTCCTGTAGTAGGTCTGCAGTCTCTTACAATCTCCTGTAGTATGTCTGCAGTCTCTGACCATCTCCTGTAGTAGGTCTGCAGTCTCTTACAATCTCCTGGCTGCTTCATACCATGACATTCGCTGAATATTCTATGTGGCCCCTTGCTGATGTCAGGGGTGGTATTTAGGGCTCCCCATATCAGTACCATTACTGCCTTACAGGATATTCAGAAATATGAATAACCAGGGGCGGACTGACAACTCATGGGGCCCCCGGGCAATAGGGGATCACGGGGCCCCTATGTCCTTGCCCAAACTCAAAAAAGCCTATGAAAAAGGTACCAGGGGCATCTCATGGGGCCCCCTACTGACCCCGGGCCCTCGGGCAGTGCCCGAGTTTCCAAATGGTCACTCCGCCCCTGTGAATAACTGAAATATATAGTAACTGATATGTCATTTATATCAAACTAAAATCTATACAGCCTGGGGTTCTTTTTGTCTTTTGTGATATATTAATGATTTGTATTTTGTTTTCCTCACCAGGACAATATGAAGTCAAGTCTGCTTCTCCTCTTGCTTGTCATGGCACTGAGCTCGCCGGCTCTGACCTCAGAAGTGGAAGGCATTTCAAGTTAAGTGTCGTCTTCCCTTCAGAACTGACATCTTCCTTTTGTGTCACTTTATACTTTTCTTGCTTAAGAATTCACAAGAAACTAGCGATATATCTCAGTAAGGGATCGCTCACACATGAGATCGGGGGGGGGGGGGGGGGGCGGTTAAAACCATGTGGCTGAGCTGTGCTTTTACTGTCCCCCAAGCTCTACCCCCTTTAGCTGTAGAGGCAGTGGCTGGCGGTGTACACATGCTGTGACCACAATGCCTTGCTTCACGGTTGCAACAGGAATTATACCCCCTGTCACTTGACACGAGAGGGGCCACTCTGCAAGCACCTTGTGGTTTGCTACAAAGTTACAATGTAGAGTCTGAGTGATCACCGGGGTAGAGGAGTCCCTGCTAAAACCTCTCACCTTGTGATTTTCTACAAAGTTATAGTGTAGAGTCTGAGTGATCACCGGGGTAGAGGAGTCCCTGCTAAAACCTTTCACCTTGGGGTTTGCTACAAAGTTACAATGTAGAGTCTGAGTGATCACTGGGTAGAGGAGTTCCTGCTAAAACCTCTCACCTTGTGGTTTGCTACAAAGCTACAATGTAGAGTCTGAGTGATCACCGGGGTAGAGGAGTCCCTGCTAAAACCTCTCTCCTTGTAGTTTGCTACAAAGTTACAATGTAGAGTCTGAGTGATCACCGAGGTAGAGGAGTCCCTGTTAAAAACCTCTCACCTTGTGGTTTACTACAAAGCTACAATGTAGAGTCTGAGTGATCACCGGGGTAGAGGAGTCCCTGCTAAAACCTCTCTCCTTGTAGTTTGCTACAAAGTTACAATGTAGAGTCTGAGTGATCACCGGGGTAGAGGAGTCCCTGCTAAAACCTCTCACCTTGGGGTTTGCTACAAAGTTACAATGTAGAGTCTGAGGGATCACTGGGGTAGAGGAGTCCCTGCTAAAACACTCACTCACCTTGTGGTTTGCTATAAAGTTACAATGTAGAGTCTGAGTGATCACCGGGGTAGAGGAGTCCCTGCTAAAACCTCTCACCTTGTGGTTTGCTACAAAGTTACAATGTAGAGTCTGAGTGATCACCGGGGTAGAGGAGACTAACGAAATTGCTTCCACCTGCCTGCAGCAGACGGATGTCAACTGCCAAGAATTTATTCATGCAGACTTGCAAGGGTTTGCAAGGGACTTGCAACCTTTCCTGATAGGACGCTTACCCACATGGAAGAAAAATATATTTTAAATATACATTCTTAATATATTCTTCCCAAATATATTGACCTATATTTCAAATACTACAATTTTGGCCATAATCAATATATTTCAAAAATATATTTCAATATACTTGTGAATATAATATTTAAAATATATTCAGAACACATGCTGCAATATATATCAAAGTGTCAATTGGAATGCATTTAAAAATATATTTAAAAATCTATGTTTTTTTTTTTTTAGATGTACAAAAATATCTGGAAAATATATTTTTAAATATATGACTTTGGAAAATATATTTTAATTTACATTTTTGGAATACATGTTAAAATACATTCGTGTAGGCCAATATATTGTAAATATATGTCAGATGTATAATTTTTTTTTTCTAAATATATTGGAAATATATTTCTCTTCCATATGGGTAATGATGCCTTGGCAATGTATCCCTAACATTTAGTGGGGTCGGAAAATGATGTCTTGGGACTTCAGACTTGCAGGCTATTTTTTATATATATATATATATATACACTGTATGTTGAAATGCGTTTTTATTACAAGATCTATGAAAAATATTTTTAAAAATAAATTTTCAAATCTACTGTATGTCTTTAAAAATACAAATCTACATTTTTGGAACGCATTTACATATATATGTAAAAATATATGTTAAAATTACTTTTTTTACATGTTAAAAAAATCTGAAGAATATATGTAAAAAAAAATATATATTGTAAAATATTTTTCATATATTTCGTAATATATAAAAAATGCATTTCAAACATGCAGTATGTGTGTGTATGTATGTATGTATATATGTGTATATATATATATATATATATATATATATGGAATACGGACAAAATTGTAGCATTTCAAATATATGTCAGTGTATTTTCGGATGAATATTTTAAAAATATATTTCAAATATATTTTTCTTCCATGTGGGATATGTTCTACCTATTTGGCATGTAACCCATGACATTAATGATCTTTTAGCAATCTGTAAGGGGAATTCTTCTGAATGACCTCAAATATAAGGGACATTCTTTCTGCTGACCACCAATGTAAGGAACATTCTTCCCACTGATCATTAATGCACGGAGCACTTTTGCCACTGATCACCAATGTAAGGGACATTCTTCCCACTGACCACCAATGTAAGGGACATTCTTCTCACTGACCTCCAATGTAAGGGGCATTCTTCCCACTGACCACCAATGTAAGGGACATTCTTCCCACTGACCACCAATGTAAGGGACATTCTTCCCACTGACCACCAATGTAAGGGACATTCTTCCCACTAATCCCCAATGTAAGAAGCATTCTTCCCACTGACCACCAATGTAAGGGACATTCTTCTCACTGACCTCCAATGTAAGGGGCATTCTTCCCACTGACCACCAATGTAAGGAGCATTCTTCCCACTGATCACCAATATAAGAAGCATTCTTCCCACTGATCACCAATGTAAGGGACATTCTTCCCACTGATCACCAATGTAAGGGACATTCTTCCCACTGACCACCAATGTAAGGAGCATTCTTCCCACTGACCACCAATGTAAGGGACATTCTTCCCACTGACCTCCAATGTAAGGGGCATTCTTCCCACTGACCACCAATGTAAGGAGCATTCTTCCCACTGACCACCAATGTAAGGGACATTCTTCCCACTGACCTCCAATGTAAGGGGCATTCTTCCTACTGACCACTAATGTAAGGGACATTCTTCCCAATGACCACCAATGTAAGGGGCATTCTTCCCACTGACCACCAATGTAAGGGACATTCTTCTCACTGATCACCAATGTAAGGGACATTCTTCTCACTGATCACCAATGTAAGGGGCATTCTTCCCACTGACCACCAATGTAAGGGACATTCTTCTCACTGATCACCAATGTAAGGGACATTCTTCTCACTGATCACCAATGTAAGGGGCATTCTTCCTACAGACCACCAATGTATGGGACATGCTTCCCACCAACCACCATTGCAAGGAGCATTCTCATCACTGACCACCATTGTAAGGGAGATTCTTCCCACTGACCACAATTGTAAGGGACATTCTTCCCACTGACCACCAATGAAAGGGATATTCTTCCTACTGACCACCAATGTAAGGGACATTCTTCCTACTGACCACCAATGTAAGGGACATTCTTCCCACTGACCACCAATGTAAGGGACATTCTTCCCACTGACCACCAATGTAAGGGACATTCTTATGGCATACTAATGTATCATTAGCTTTAGATATTATCAGCTGGGGTTCCCTGAGACAGGAAAGTTATTTTAAGGGTTTCTCCATGTAGAAAGGGTTGAGAAAAGCTGACCTAGATGGTTCTCCCGAGCCCTTGGAATCATAAGAAACCATTGCAACGTTGACTAACCAGCTTTTTAGTATCAGAGTTTGTCACGGTAACGTTGGATGAAGGCATTCATTTGTGGTTTTATGTAAAGTATCTACTCCCCCGATAATGATGGTCGTTAGTTCTAAAAGTGTCATGATCTATGGTTTTCATGTTTCCTTTCTAAATGTCAACACTGAAAAAAATGTAAAGTGTATTAATTTCCTGTAAAACATAAAATATTCTGTGGTCGGACAGATGTGGTTCTGGCACGGTGCCCTGCCTCAGTTTGGTTTTTCATTAATGTTTTTTTTCCCTTTCCAGAAGATTACAAGAGCTTGAGGGTGAGGATTGGAAACTCTTCAACGAAAGCTGTGTTGTCGGGCACGTTGACCATCCCGTGCCACATCACGTACCAGTCACCAGCGGAAGAGGTGACCGTGGGCCGCCGGGCTGTGCTGGCCACACCTCGGGTGAAATGGTCCTTTATCTCCAATGGTAAAGAAGTGGAAATATTGGTGTCTCAGGGCAACAAGGTCAAAATAAATGATGCTTACAAACAACGGGCCTCTCTCCCGCACTACACGACTTCAAAGTATGATGTCACGCTGGTCCTCAAAGAGCTGTTAAGCAATGATTCGGGGATTTACAAGTGTCATGTCCAGCACGGTATTGAAGATGATTATGACATGTTGGAGGTGAAGGTGAAAGGTGAGCCTCTTCGAAGACAGAATTATCTATTTTAATATAGTCTTTTTTATTTTATTTTTGAAAGCTATAGGTAAATGTGTGATCATAACATTAAAATACGTAAACCTCAAGAGAAATTAGTATTTGAAAAACGTTGTTTCTGTTTGTATAGTTTAATGGTTAGGTGTCTTTTTATACCCAATACCTTTCTCCCAAGATCTACTGGTAAAAGAGAAGTCCTACCACCCTTCCATTTAGATAATCATACTCACCTGCTTCATCCAAATCCCTGGCCAATGGCAAAGTGAAGCTTCATCTCATTTACTAAGCTCTTTAGGAACTGCATGGTCCCCTACACAGCCACTATATCTTCTGCAGAGTCCCAAAACCCCCTTCAGAACCCTGGATGGGACTGGGTATCACTGTGGGGGAACAAGGGTTCTGAAGGGGGTTTGGGGAAGATATAGAACAAAAATCCTGGAAGGCTCTGGATGGCACTGGGTATCACAGTGGGGATACCCAGTCCCATCCAAAGCCTTCCAGGATTTTAATATATATTTTGTATTCCCATGCTTTTGTTGTATTAGTAAAAACTTTTTTTTTACTGCTGGGATATGGGAGGTTTTGGAAGAATTTACCAGCCCCTGGTCTCAATAAGTCTGAGAATCACTGGTCTGGTGCGTTCCATCGTGATTCTAATGACATCCACTGCTCAAGACCTGAAGAAGGAGGAGACTTCCCCCCCCCTAAAACGTTGTCTGTATTTGATAGACAACCAATAAATGTTTCAAAAAGACATTTAACGCGCATGAACATTTATATTAGGTGCTTCTTAGTAAACATCCAAGATGGTAACATAAATTCTACAGTTCCTTCTGATCTACAGGACATTTATAGTTCCTTCCAATACTCTACTGCTTGCTTGATCTTTTGGGAAATGCCATAAAAGCTTTACAAATGGTTTGGGTCAGGTGATAATGGATCCCAATAATTTACCCTGTCCGTCTGTGTCCCTTAGGTGTTGTGTTCTTGTATCGAGAAGGAACCTCGCGCTACAATTATACGTTCCCCATGGCCCAGGAAGCCTGCATTAAGATTAAGGCACACATAGCCACAGCAGACCAACTTTTGGCCGCCTACCATGGTGGCTATGAACAGTGTGATGCCGGCTGGATCGCTGACCAAACTGTCAGGTTAGAATATTATAATAATGTTGGGTCAGTTACTTCTTTTCAAACAAAACCCCAAGGTCTAAGACTTTCTTTGTCAACTTTTTTGTCAACACTGAGGAACCCTTGAAAACTAGGACTCAGGGAACCCCTGCTTATAATGATTATATTTACTGTGGTACCGTATATGGGAGGCAGAAATTGCTCATTGATCAAGGAACCCCTTGGAACCTCTTGAAGGACCCAAGTTGGGGAAGGCTGCTAGAGTGTAAAAAAACAAATACATTTTATGGGGTTACATGAGCTTGGTCCCAAAAAACCCAGGTAACCTGTTATTTGCTAACAGCAAACTAAATATACAACAAAAGGAAATTCAGTTGTGAATGCGCAATACTCATAACCAGCATCTTAGTATTGCCTAAACTATTAATTAGGCAAGTATGCCTTTTGAGCAGATTTTCACTCTTCACACTACGAGATATTAGTTTGTTTTTTGTCCAGAACATGAGATGATCTAAGCTCACCATCTGTACCAAGGGTCCTCAGGTCCACACTCACAAATATCCAAGGTATACCCTTCTTGGTCCCTTTCCTTTGCAGATACCCTATCCAGACACCCCGGGAAGGTTGCTATGGAGACATGGACGGATTTCCTGGAGTGAGGAACTACGGAGTCTTGGAACCTGATGACTTGTATGACGTCTACTGCTACGTGGAAGATACTAATGGTAAGTCCGTTGTTTTCATTCCCTATCATTGTATTAAGGTTGCTACCTTACCCACTTGGAAAAAGGGAGCCTGATTGGTTTCAATGACCAATAAACTTGTGTCCAGTTTTAGGGATTTTCAGGGCTTCTCATTGTGATTGTGTAGGTTCATTCTTGATGGTTACTGAAACAATTTGTTGCAGGACTTAACTATATTAAATATCTAAAGCCCCATTTTTTTTTTCAGTTTTAAACAGGTTAAGAAATGTTTTTGTTTTTATTTGCTGGCTGTATCCAATTGGAGAGATATTACTTTTCTTCCTGCCTTGGGACACAACAAGTGAAACGACATGTCTCCAAAACAAGAGAAGCCCTCTTGAACCAGAACAAGTATTCCCATTTGAAGATTTGACCCAGTGACAATGAAAAAGTTTACATTTAGCCCCCTGATAATAGTCACCAGGAAAATTGTAAATTTCCCCAACAGGACACCGATAATATTAAAAAAACAAATGGAAAGTTCTTACCTACCTGGCAACCCTGGCTGGATCCAAAACAAGAGGAGCCCTCTTGAACCAGAACAAGTGTTCCAATTTGAAGATTTGACCTAATGACAACGAAACAGTTTAGATTTTCCCTTACATTTAGCCCCCTGATAATGGTCACCAGGAAAATTGTAAATTTCCCCAACAGGACACCGATAATAATAAAAATACAAAAGGAAAGTTCTTACATACCTGGCAACCCTGGCTTGATCGATTTCAAACCGCTCAGTCACTCACTCACACACTTTTTGAACAGTTGTTGAGCATGTTTCGGTCATAGTCAGTGGTGTGTATTTAGGTTTTTGTGCTGCCCTAGGCAACACAAAATTCGCCAACCTGGAGAGAGCCTGACATTGACCAACAACACCCCTGCCCCCCCCATCGCCCGAGAGACCCTTCCACTATCATAGCCCCCATACACCAGCCAATCCCCTCCCAGAAATACCCTCACCTTCACAGCTTCACAGCTCTGGCCACCCCCAGGAACGAGAGTCGAGAAGCCCGCAGCCTCTCTCAGATCCCATCTGGTCCCCAAGCCGCATGTGTCCCTTCTTCCATCCTTTCTTCCATCCCTGGGAACAAGAGTGGATCTCTACATACACCATGAAGCAGTCTGAAGCCTCTCTCAGATCCCACCTAGTAGCGCGTGCCATATGTGTCCCTTCTTCCAGGGCGGGCGGTACTGCCCCCCTGAAAAATGCCGCCCTAGGTAAACGCCTTGTTTGCCTTGTGGTAAATACGCCCCTGGTCATAGTGGGCCTCTGGGGTAACCCCTCTGTCCCCCTTTCCCTTCCTGTAGCCCAATCCTACTTCTTTTTTCCCCTGTCTCACCATTTTTTTTTACTCCTCTCCAGGGGCGGACTGACAACTCATGGGGCCCTCGGGCAATAGGGGATCATGGGGCCCCTGTGTCCTTGCCCAAGTTCAAAAAAGGTACCAGGGGCATCTCATGGGGCCCCCTACTGACCCCGGGCCCTGGGGCAGTGCCCGAGTTTCCAAATGGTCAGTCCGCCAGTGCTCCTCTCCAATTTTTCCAATCTTCCTGTTTCCCTCCATTTTTCTTACCTTCTCACTACTTTCTCCGTATTACTGGTGGCCCTCTTCTTCTTATGGCCAGTATCAAAAGAGCTGCTAGTAGTACCCAGAACTTAGTAAATCTACAATCCCCATTGAGTTTCGACAAGCTTCATTAATATTTTCTTCTAACCAACCCCTGGGTGATATCATTTTGAGTAATTAATTTAATTTCTTTCACATTTTGCCTTAAGATCGTGCCGATTCCATTATCTTTCTTTGGACGCCCAACGTTTTTTCTTGCTTCTAAACTGGAAAGAGTTCTTTATATTTTATTGTTTTACTCACCCTCTGTTTTTATGAGGGTTCAGGTTTTTTGATGATGTGTTACTATACTATGTACAGTAGATGTACCATGTTCGACTTCACTTCTTTTTCAATAAAAACAAAGCGAAAGGAAAAAAATGGAAAGTTCCTAAATGAGGCAGAGCAGGACACCACATGAAAAATATGGATGCATTTTAACCACTTCCAGACCGGACACTTTTACCCCCTTCCTGTCCAGGGCAATTTTCAGCTTTCAGCGCTATCACGCTTTGAATGACAATTGCGCGGTCATGCAACACTGTACCCAAATGAATTTTTTACCATTTTTTAGAGACAGATAAAGCTTTATTTTGGTGGTATTTATTCACCGCTGGGATTTTTTATTTTTTTTGCTATGTAAATGAAAAAGTCCAAAAATTTTGAAAAAAAGTTTTTTTATATAAAATTTTGGGGGTGATGAAGATTTTTTTTTTTTCTTTTACACATTGCTTTTACACCCATATAGGATGTAAAAACAATCATTTCTCTTTCTCTCTGTGTGCATTCTTGCACTCATTGAGAAGTACTGAGTGAGCTGTGATTGGTCACAGCTTGTCACATGGTACAAGCCTGTTGAGAATAGGCTTGTACCATGTGACCTCTGTGATCATTCACAGATTTCACATGTAGTAAGCAATGATGTCACAAGTGACATCCTGCTTACTACTTTGCATGTGATCACTGATTGGCCAATCAGTGATCACATGATCGGGACCTCGTACAGAGGTCCCATCCGACGATCGGTGTTTCACTGTGTCCGGAGGACACAGCGGGCACCGGATCGCGGTGCTGCGCGCTCCCAGGGAGCGCGCACAAGCAGGGTGCGGGGAGGCCGTTTATAAACGGCCACCCAACCCTGCACTGCCACTGTCCGACCATTTATATGCAACGGCCGGTCGGGAAGTGGTTAACCATTACCCGCCCAGCCATCATTTTACTATAGGTGGGCCAGGAGGGCATCATATGATGTCCTTCCCAGATCGGGCTTTGCAGCGCCATGCTGTGGCGAGATCTGTCACCGGCTGTGTACCGATGACAGATCTGAGTACCGGTCCCGTTGCCAGTTCTATGTGACCTGCTGTGACCAATCACAGCAGGTCACAGGACAGTTGTAAACAATAGATAGCTTCCTTTCATGCCATCCATTGTATACAAGTGTGTCTAGCTGTGAATGATCACAGTGATCACATGCACAGGCTGGGCCAATCACAGCCCATCTGTGTCACGTGATTAGTAGTGGCCAATCACAGCTAAGCACAACACAAAAACCTGAATGCATCGATTTCATTCAGTTAAATGCTTGCTTATAGCAAAGAAACTATTTGCTAGAGGCAATCAAATTGTTTAAAAAACAAAATACTGATCACTTGCCCAAAGTAGTACAATGTTACTATGGTAACATTATACTGCTTTGGTCATAGTGTAATATGAAAACAAAAATCTTAAAAAAAGAGAAAAAATTTATAAAAAAAAAATAAAAAAATAATTTAAAAAAATGACAAAACTGAAAATAAATTATCATATTTTTTTTTTCGTGATGTCACCAGTCAGTGTCCCTGATCACCGCCACACCAGTTATATGATGACGCTGTACTGCACTGGTGACAGTATGTAAAAAACAATTGTGAAAGTAATTTTTTTAATTTCTTCATTTTCTGAAAAATTATGACAAAACAATAACAACTTCAAAAAACTCGCCATGCCTCTTATGAAAAACATTAGACTGTCTACTTTGCAAAAAGTGGTCATTTGGGGGATATCTGTACTGTCCTGACATTTGGGGGGATATCTGTACCGTCCTGACATTTGGGGGGATATCTGTACCACTCTGACATTTGGGGGATATCTGTACCGTTCTGACATTTGGGGGATATCTGTCCTGTCCTGACATTTGGGGGATATCTGTACTGTTCTGACATTTGGGGGATATCTGTACTGTCCTGACATTTGGGGGATATCTGTACTGTTCTGACATTTGGGGGATATCTGTCCTGTCCTGACATTTGGGGGATATCTGTACTGTTCTGACATTTGGGGGGATATCTGTACTGTCCTGACATTTGGGGGATATCTGTACTGTCCTGACATTTGGGGGATATCTGTACTGTCCTGACATTTGGGGGATCTGTACTGTCCTGACATTTGGGGGATATCTGTACTGTTCTGACATTTGGGGGGATATCTGTACTGTCCTGACATTTGGGGGATATCTGTACTGTCCTGACATTTGGGGGATATCTGTACTGTCCTGTCATTTGGGGGATATCTGTACTGTCCTGACATTTGGGGGATATCTGTACTGTCCTGACATTTGGAGGATATCTGTCCTGTCCTGACATTTGGGGGATATCTGTACTGTCCTGACATTTGGGGGATATCTGTACTGTCCTGACATTTGGAGGATATCTGTACTGTCCTGACATTTTTGGGACTCAAGATATTAGAATGGCCGTCTGTACTTCAGGATTGATAATTTTCATATATATCCCATAGTTTGTGAACTCTAGAACTTTCCTCCAGACTAAATAATAAATACTGATTTGGGTTATTTTCACCAAAGACATGTAGCAGAATACATCTCGGCCTAAATCTATGAAGAACAATTATTTATTTGCAAACTTTTATAACAGAAACAAAGAAAAACGTGTTTTTGTTTTCAACATTTTCATATTTTTTTTTTGTTAATTTAGCAAAAAATAAAAACCCCAGTGATGATTAAATACCACCAAAAGAAAGCTCTAGTTGTGTGAAGAAAATGATAAACATTTAGTTTGGGTACAGTGTTGCATGACTGCACAATTGTCATTCAAAATGTGAGAGCGCTGAAACCTGAAAATTGGCCTTGACAGGAAGGGGGTAAAAGTGCCCGGTATTGACGTGGTTAACAAAAGACCAGAATATTAAAATAATTTTGGAAAACTTAGGAGATATGATCATAGAAAATAATTTATAACTGGATACTAACATTTATAAGTGACGTTGATCCAGGGAATATCTGATTGCCTCTCGGGGGATCAGGAAGGAATTTTTTTCCCTGCAGGAGCAAATTGGATCGTGCTTTGCTGGTTTTTTTGCCTTTTTTTGCTTTGCTGGGTTTTTTTGCCTTTTTTTGCTTTGCTGGGTTTTTTTAGCCTTTTTTTGCCTTCCTCTGGATCAATAGGATTATAACTTTTTTTTTTTTCTATGGTTGAACTGGATGGACTTTTGTATTTTTTCAGCCAGACTAACTATGTAATGTTAAAATTGCAGTTTTCCTTGAAAAGGCCTCTGAAAATTGACAGACCACATGAGTCTTCATGGATGTCATACCTAAACCGATTTGTTAAATAGCTTTGATAATCTCTCACAACTTTTAGGAGTGGTTTGATGGAAACACCTTTTAACCAGTGAATTAAAAATCATATTCAGTCGATCCTGAATACGGCAGCCAGACTCATCCACCTTACCAACCGCTCCATTTCCGCCACCCCCCCCCTCTACCAATCCCTCCACTGGCTTCCGATTGCCCAACGGATCAAATTCAAAATCCTAACACTGACGTACAAAGCCGTCCACCATACTGCCCCGAACTACATCACTGACCTAATATCCAAATACCACCCAACACGCACACTCCGCTCCTCACAAGACCTCCTTCTCTCTAGTTCCCTGGTCTCCTCCTCCCATGCCCGCCTCCAGGACATCTCCAGGGCGTCACCCATCCTCTGGAACTCTCTACCCCAATCCATCAGACTATCACCTACTCTCCTCTCCTTTAGGCGCACCCTGAAAACCCACCTCTTCAGGGAAGCCTACCCCACCCCCTGCTAATTGCCGACCTCCTCCATTCTTCCTACCACTCCATCCCCCACAGCTATCTCCTCCTGTGCCACCATCCCCTCCCTCCTAGATTGTAAGCTCTAAAGAGCAGGGCCCTCGAACCCCTCGGGTATCACATTGTATTGCTATTGTACTGTCGCATGTTCTGTCTCCCATTGTAATGTACAGCGCTGAGCGACCTGTTGGCGCTTTATAAATACTGTATAATAATAATATAATAATATTTGAAACCTATTGGTTAGACCAGAAATATGACCCCATCACAGAAAGCAATGTCTCTCAGTAAAATTGAAGTCCCCATCATCGTAGAACTTAGTAGAACAGAACATATTCCCTTCACGAAGGGAAGGCTAACTTGGGTTGACTTAACAGAGTATTTTTTGTGTTGTAAGATTTTGTTAAGGTGGGCTCAGAATTCCATGGAATGGAAACTATATATATATGTAACTTTTGAAAAGGGGAAGAAATCGATCTTCATTTAAACTCGTCAAGTGCGAACTCACTGAGCATAGCAGCTTGTTAATTCTCTTTGTCTCTCCTGTTTAGGTGAGGTTCTTCTAGGTTCCACAACAAACAAATTCACTCTAAGTGATGCCAGAGATTATTGCAAAACTTTGGGAGCAGAAATGGCAAACACTGGCCAACTCTACGCTGCATGGAATGAAGGGGTCGACCACTGCAATCCTGGCTGGCTTGCTGACGGAAGTGTCCGCTATCCTATCGTCACACCGAGAGAAAAGTGTGGAGGGAACTCACCTGGGGTCAAGACGGTATTTCAGTTCCGCAACCAGACAGGCTTTCCAGACCCCCATGCCAGATATGATGTCTACTGTTTCAGAGGTAAGGTAGTCTGTAGTTCAAGTAGATGATAGGTAGTCTTCTTGACTTCCTTGTGGTCCTGTGTCATTAGTTCCAGATTTTGGCAACAGCACATTTTAACTAGATAGATGATGATCACCCATCTTCTGCTTTAGGTGAAATCCCTGTTCCAGCAGAAGACCATGGTGAAAGCCCTTCACCTCCAGCCGAGCAAGTCAAAGGAGTCATAGTCTTCTTGACATCCTTGTGGTCCTGTATCATTAGTTCCAGATTTTGACAACAGCACATTTTAACTAGATAGATGATGATCACCCATCTTCTGCTTTAGGTGAAATCCCTGTTCCAGCAGAAGACCATGGTGAAAGCCCTTCACCTCCAGCCTAGAAAGTCAAAGGAGTCATAGTCTTCTTGACATCCTTGTGGTCCTGTGTCATTAGTTCCAGATTTTGACAACAGCACATTTTAACTAGATAGATGATGATCACCCATCTTCTGCTTTAGGTGAAATCCCTGTTCCAACAGAGGACCATGGTGAAAGCCCTTCACCTCCAGCCGAGCAAGTCAAAGGAGTCATTACAGTTACTGAAAGCTTTGAAGAGCTGAAGTTGCCAGAAGCAAAAGCTGAGAATGAAGCTCAAGGTTTTGTAGATACCTTCCCACTGAACAAGACTGAAGCAAATAAGCTTGCAGAGATCTTTTCTACCGTCAAAGACCTTCAAGAGTTACCACCACAACCAGAGCCAACAGCTCTGGTTGACGAAAGTGTCAATGGTGATGAAGACCTTTCTCCTGGTGTTGCAAGCTTTCCTCCCTATGAAGACCATTCTGATGACAGTGAAGAGTCTACAACAATAGATTACAAGACCACAGCCATTTTCAGACATTCTCAAGGTAAGCCAAGCAGGTATTATTGAGCATTGAGAGTGTGCAAAGTCCGTTTTGTGCATATATTTTACCAAGTATGAAATTTAGTCTATTAGGTAGTTAGGATTTTGCCCCTGAGTCAGTTTAAAAGAAACAAATCTTCCCATTTGACTGGTGTATCTATTTGAAAGGTCAGTTCTGCAAAAAACAATATTTTACTTATCTAGCCTTATATGTCTTGGATACTCAAATAGTGAGATCTCCCTACAATAGTTCCCTGTGTCTGACAACCTGGGATTTTTGGGTGCTTACACTCAACTTTATGTGTTTCAGCTCCACTTGTTACATTCTTCATAATATAAAATGAGTTTAAAAATCCAGCAGCTATGCTGGGAGCCCCTCTTAATGAGCTCAGTAGGTGTGCAGTCCCGGAAACTCAGAGGATTCAGGAACTGCAAAGATCTATCTCATAGTGTCCTCAAGAGAAAAAAAACAACCTGTGGAGTGGTTTAACTGTCCAGCAGCTACCAACTTCTGAGTTATGATTTTTGAGTGGACAGGCTCTCCATTTGGGATTTTTTCCTCACCTCCTGAAATTTTTTGGACTTCCCCTCTTGGGGAAATTCCTTTGTCGGTACGTAGGTTGCTAAGCCAATTGAGGAGGGTGAATCTCCCCAATGCAGAAGCAGACAGCAGTAAAAAAACATGGCAGATGTTCTAATCCTTGCAATTGCTATCCCAAAAAAAGACCTTTACTTAAACTTTAAAGTGGTTCTAAAGAATAAACATTACCTGCATCAAGTAAAAACATGTTTAGGCAACACTGACTCCCCACTTTCCCAATACTTAGCTGAGCCCTCACTCAATCCAGTGCTGTGCCTGTCTGTTGCGGCTCTCTCCGCTCTTACAGGCTTGGCTGAGAGTGGTGGCAGCCATTGGGAACAGGGGTGAGGCCAAGCTTTGCTCTCTGCATCTATGGACGAAGGCAGCACAGCTCAGGATTGAGCTCACAGGTGTTCCACAGTAGGAAGCAGCTTCCTATGGTAGCTCACTGAGAAGGTGAGGAGCCAGGAGAGCTGGTAATGGACCTGATAAGAGAAGAATCTGCTGTTCTGTGTAATTCCTTTGCACAGAGCAAGTAAGTTTATCATGTTGGCTAATTAAAAAAATTACTTTAAAGTAATATATGGTTCCTAAATTTAAATTTAGATAAGGCTTGATTCTTTTTTTTTATTTTGACAGGAGATACACCTGGCTTTGTCCCAGACTCCACCCAAGGAACATTGGAAGGACAAGCTCTGCCTACTGCAGGTGACTCCATCTTTGATGTATCATTTGTGAATGTACTTGCAGAGAATGATTATGACAACTTTACTGACTCGACACAGGAACTTGGAGTTGCTGTGTCAGAATCAGCAAGCCACATTCCAAATGCTGGATCCCCCAACCCAACACAATTTTCAAACACAGAACATGTTGCGGATGTACTCCCTCAGGAAAGAACCAGTCAAGGAGATACCTTTATCATGACAATAGCAAATACCAGTTTTAGTCACATTGTCCCAACTACAGCTTCCTCTAATTTAGACAGTGATGTAGATTATAGTGGAGTCGATAAACCATTACCAAGCGTGAATGTTGATAATGAGCCCCCTAACTCTTCCCTAGACACCCCAGTCACTCAGCCAATATCCACTAGCCATCCATCCCTCAAGATGATTTTGAGGCCTCTGGACATGACAATCGCTTGACGCTTACAGGAGAACCACAGAGTCCAAAAAGTTTGGTGGAGGAACTGGTCTCTGGAGACCATGCGAGTGGGGCACCAGATCCTACAAAAAGTTCACAGATTTTCGAATCAAGCCTTGTCCTTACAACACCTCTCTCTTTTTCTTCTGGGCCTCAAACTTTTAGTAGCTCTAAATTATCTTGGGAAGAAGGAAGTGGTGAAGTTCCAAATTCCACGTGGCTTACCTTAGGTGGTGCTTCAGTTTCAGATGTCAATAATACTCAAAAACTGGAAAGCGAACATCAAGAATTTCTAAACAACGTAGCAAATACGACTATATCTTCTGGACAGAATTTATACGAGGATGATGAAGTGTCTACAGCCCAAATTTCCCACTTGATAAGTCCTAATGTGTCTCCTGGTCCATCTACCATTAAAGATGTTGATGTAGACCCATCTGTTCAAGAGAAAACCCTTTTACAACATCTTTAATGGGAACATTAGAGAGTCACCTAGATCTAGTCTCTCCTGCTTATATAGGTTTAACTCCACCGCCCAACAGTCACAGGAATTCCACAAGCCAGTTTTTGGAGAAGATGTTTCCACCAACCATGACCTCCCCGAATCCTACCGGTCCCTTGCCCGCTGTCCCAACAGAAAAGGCCATTGTTGGATCCTCAGTGAACTATTCAGGTAACAATCTACATGTCTACACAGCCGTTGTTCTGTCAACGGTCTTCTCCTTCAAAGGCTTGCAATGAATACTCTTCTTCTCTACCTGTGCTTTCCTCTTCACTCTCTCATTCAAATTTGGAATAACACCTGTAATCTGCAGCTGGGCCAGTGCCAAACCAACCAGTCTGACCATTCAAGAGCACGCCTTGTTTTTTTTTTTTTTACTTCTGTGAAGTATTTTTTACAATTGTTTCCATGAAAAAAAAATAAACCAGATTAAATCCTTTTTAGAATAAAAGTGGTGGTTTTAGGTCTAAACTTTCTTTCATTTCCCTGTTCCTTTTCTGTGTCTTCTCTATGTGTGTGTCTGATTCTTTCATTCTACAGCTTCTAACCAAGAGCGTTTCCTTAGAAATCCTTGACGTACATTAACATTTAAACTATAGCAAAGACAATGTTCAAAAATGTTGGAAAACTTTGGACAACAACTGTATATTGGCAGTTTTTCAAGTTCTTTAGTGTTCATGCGAATAAAGACAAATGTACAATGAAAAGGTTTTGAGGCCTGTAGAAACTAACCAAGCAACTGCTTCGACTTCTTCACTTGCTCCTATGTAAAAGCCATTTTAATTGTCCCACTTGTAGAAAGTTTGCCATATTTGATGCACGGTTCCTAAATTTTAACCAAAGGATCTAATTTCCAAAGAAAACCAGAGCAAATTTGGAACAGTGGCCAATACCAACCAGTCTGGTTTCATCTTCCAGCTAACCATGGAATCCATTCGGTTAGTTATTGGTAACTGCTCCACTTTGGTGCCATTTGTGTTGGTTCCAGTTTGTGTCGCCCTGAAATTCAAAAGTGTACAATATTAATTTTTAAATTCAAAAATTAAAAAGGAAACATAAAAGCTGACCTTCAGGGGAACAGCACTTATGAAATACATACACTGGAGCTGTTTTACATGTCAATGAATTTGTATTTCTGTCCATCCAGTCCTGAGATTTAGAGTTTTTTTCACACATCATAGCCCTGTCTGGAAGGTATAGTCTATAAAAAAAAATTGTTGTTTGACCTCAAAATTATTTTATTTTGGATTTTATAACAAACTACGTAGAATATTTCCTCTACCTTAGAGTTTAGAGTGGTGAAATATGAATGTAGTAAATAAAATTATGTCTAATTTAAATTAAGACATGCCAAAAATTATGAATACAGGTGATTTTTATTAGTAGATATAATTAAAAATATATTATAGTGTATTATATAATAACCAATTTTCACAACCCAATAAATAGCTGGCAGTAGGGTCAAAATGTATCTAAATAACCTCAATTAATTTTGTGTAATTAAAAATTGTGCATTCCAAATAATAATACAACAAGGTAAAGCTATGTTTAAACAGGTAGTGAAACAGATAGCTAGACTATGGAAGGGTTGTCCCTAGAATAGAAAGTGAGGAAAAATCTAAAATTTCAGTGGTCACCAGAAGTAGGGGTGAGGGAATATTTTACAATGGGGATACCGCTTTCAGCAGCAATCTTCTATAGGTGGCCATAATGTATCAATTCGTGATCGATCTAGGTACGAGTTTGATTAAAATATCCAACAATGCAACACATATGGTATGGATTGACAATACAATCTATCAGAAACAATCTGTTGAAGATTATTTAATTCATCTGCATCTGTTTTCTAACAGACATACAGAAACGATCGTTAAAATTCTGCCAGTTTTACCTCAAAATGGAAGAATTTTAGCTCACTTCCTCTCCTGATAGGGTTCATCTATTCCCTACTCTGTACCAAACTAAAAAAGATATTGACAAGGTGAAGTTTAGCTGGAGGCTAAAATAATTGCTCAGGAAGAGCCCCTGATTGGCATATGATCCCATGACCAATATTTAGGCCAGTGGTCTCCAAACTGCGTCACTTTGCTTGCTTTTATCTAGGCCTTGGGGCAACATTTCATCAACTGACACCATCAAAGGGGCACAATTCCTCCCAATGACACCAATGATGGGGCACAATTCCTCCCAATGACACCAATGATGGGGCATAATTCCTCCCAGTGACACCAACGATGGGGCATGATTGTTCCCACTCAATGACATCAATGATGGGGCACAGTTCCTCTCACTGACCCCAAAGATTGGGGCATTGTTTACTCCAACTAATGCTTGGACATTTTCCACTTTCAATGGCCACAGTAAGGCCCCCCTAAAGTCTGAAAGACCATAAACAGGCCCTTTGTTTAGAAAGTTTGGAGACACCTGATCTAGGCATGTTACTACAGTTTCTGCAGGAGTGATATGTTTATACCTTCTTTTTTAAATTATAAGAGGTGAAAAATGTTCAGAATGGAGGATTTAATTTTGGAATAGATTTAAAATTATAAAAAAAATGATATTATATAAAAATATATTTAAAAAAAATGGCAAAAACTGTAGAAGGCATGGTATAATTTTATACTTTAAATTTGTTACACAATAACGGCCACTTGACTAGCTCTACTCTGATCCACCAACTATATGAGTAACAGTTTTGTCCCTCACAAATTAAAGTGATCTTTTTTTAATATTTAAATCTAGTTTCCTATTTTTTTTGGTTGAATAGATTATTCAAGGCATTTTAATGATCAGGTCATT